AAGTCCCTAGTTGGTCCCTGAGACTCGTCTTGAAGGATCGTAGCTAGGCTAGCACTTTTCAGGTGTTTGACGATTCCAGCACTTTGTTGAAACAATTCGGCTGCGGAAATTTCGTAGAAACTGAAGAAGTAAAAGCTCAGCATACATTTAAAAACATTAGGGTTTGATTTGGGACCTTACATGATGTTTTGGGAACGTTGTTGCGCCCAGATGTTAGAGAAAATTCGTAAAAAACTGTGCGCGTCTTCCCTGAAGTTTCTAGATATTTTGAGAACGTGGTCAAATTTAGAGAAACAAAATTTAAACATGGTTGATGGAACTTCGTAAAAATCGTTCTAGAAGTAAAATTAAGAGAGCTTTGTATATGCTCCCTGGGGCATTAGACTGATGCAAAATTTGAAATTTTCGCTCCACAGTGCTCAAATGGTTCCAAATTGGGCCCTGATTAGCCTCCCAAAATATGAACTCATTGAGTGAGAAACTGACTTGGCACAAACCATTTGAAGTTTCTATGCGAATTACTATTAAGAAACCATAATTTCGGTTCATAACGATCGCAAAATTCACCAGTTCACTCTACCTTAGAAAATGATAGCTGAGCTTATTAAAACTTTTCTCAGCTACAACTTTGTTGAAGACCACTTTTCGATCAAATGTAAGGAACAAAAATTATTAATGATTCAAGTAACTGATGTCTTATTATTATGCTCAATCAACTGTTCAGCAGGCAACAATGCTGTTTATGGCGCGTAGAATGGAGGACTAGATCATGGCTACTATGTCACACTGCAGAATACAGTGTTGCCCACAATACAGTTGCTTAATCTTGCCATAAGATTATCAGTTTCTTAAACAATTAATAACTATTTAATTTAATGTTTGGCTAAAAAATGATTTTCTGCAAAGTTGTAGCTGATAAAAATTCCCATAAGAATAGCAATAGAATTTGTTAACAGTACAATATGTAAAAAGACTAAAAGACAATGAACAAAAAGTTTTGTTTTCCCATAGCAATTTCCATATAAACTTCAAATGGTTTGTGCCAAGTCAGTTTCTTATCGAATGAGTTTAAACTTTCGTAGGCTAATCAGGACCCAATTTGAAACCGTTTGAACACCGTGGAGCGAAAATTTCAAATTTTGCATCAGTCTACTGGGGCATCCCTTAGCTCAGTCGGTAAAGTCGCAGCTACAAAGCAAGACCATGCTGGAGGTAGCTGGGTTCGATTCCCTGGCCCAGAAATTTTTCGGATTGGAATATTTCTCGACTTCACTGGGAATAGAGAATGATTGTACTTGCTTGCCTCACAATTATACTAATGCAAAAATGGTACAGGCATCGAAAGCTCTCAATTAATAACTGTGGAAGTGCACCTAGAACACTAAGTTGAGAGCACGCTATAAGCTAATATGCGATATGCAATAAGCTTGAAATGTGAAGAAGTTTTATGTCTTGTCTCGCGTCGCGTCTTGTGAGTGTCGTGTAGTTCTTACGTTAGCACAAAACATGAAAAATAACCTCAAGGAACATTGGAGTAATTTTCCGCCCCTTTAGACATTTTTTGGTGGCAAGTTCCTTTTTCACCACCTGTCGAGTATGGTGCTGCCCATCATAAAATATGTTTCATAACCTTCTCATTAGGTTGTGAAGGAAACATTTTTTTTTCTTCAATTGTTTCGATCACATTCCACATGCCACACGGAATTTTGACTAAAAAAACAATTATTTTTTAACTTTATTTTAGAAATTTTTAGTCAAAAGACAAAAAAAAAAAAATCGATTTTTGTTGAAAATTACCTAATTTAACGTGTTCGCAACTACGACGTATTGAATTCAGATTGCTGAAAATGAGCGGCAATTGCAAATAGTTTTTACAGAATGATATCAAAACTTATAAAACCTTGAACTAGTTAAAAGCTAACTGGAACGATGCCTTCAAAATATATAAAAGTACACAGTGCTAAGAGTAATTAAATTCAAGATGTTACCAGTAGCTTGAAAAATACGTTTCTATGTTTTATATTGCAACACATATAAGAACTTTTTTTGCAATTAAAAAATATTTTTAATATATTTATAAGCTAAAGAAAGCTTACAGCTATATTTTTCGATACAGTTCTTATATGCGAAAAATATGTCAATTCAGAAAGCAAAATTGGTGTTGTGTTCCCTATTTTATGTGTCGCTATTTTGCTCTCAAATCGCAACGTTTGATTCGCTTAAATATTGTGGATGAAAAATATTGGCAACTTCTCGCGAGCTGCAATGCATTAATGTATTAATAACAAACTAATCTAGAACTGGGCTCAAACATAACATTTTCTAAGACTGACCATGATTGATAAAGTATAAATAATGAGAATTGTAGATCCCGATCCCGAAAGAACGTTCTCTAGCAATAAAACTATTAATCTGTGCATACTCAGAAAATATACCCGATCTCAACAAACTCTACCGAAATCAAATCAGCTGAACTACTCGGTAAAAATTTGGCATTTCTATTTAATTGTTTTACTTTATATGGAGCTCTTGCAGAACAAATGGTTTTAGAGCCATATTGGTTTTGAAAGGAAGGTCAAACCGAGGGGGCGATTCTATCTACGATGAAGGAAAAATTGTTTTTTGCTGTGGTTAGCTGCGCGCACGCTAAGTAGATAGTAAGAAGATTTATGACGAATATGAAGATTTTTCGAAGATTGATTAGCTAGTGTGAGATTTGTTGAGCACCTAGAATTGAGATTTAGATGTGTCGTCCCCCTCGGGTCAAACTACCACTGAACAGCTCAGTCGCTCTGAACCGTTCAAGTGTGAACAGTATGCTTTCCCTAAGCGGTCCCTCCGCGTTCTGCCTCTGTTAACCCAAAAACCTAGAACTGATTAAAAGAGTATAATTTAGAGAGTATAAAATAAAATATCCACCTGCACTGTATTGTGCATTATCATTAGACCCTAACCCACTTACTTGATAAGACTTCAGCATCAATCGTTTGGAGATGAACTAGTCAAAGGCTAAAAATCTCCTTAATAAAGCAAAAAAAAACATTAACCGGCGAGCAGTGCACTCTACACTCCAAGTGGCATTTGTTTCAAATTCATTGAGTGTTGATTAATCACAATTGTTACCGAGCGCGGACGTGAGGTTACTAGACTATTAAATAATCAAGGTCCTTTTTAGGATTATATATGAAAAATACAAATTTGGTAAATTTCCATCAATATGAATATGGATAGGGTAATTAACTTATCATTGGTGAAAATCCATATAGGACTGCTATAAGATTATACGCAGATCAGTCAATATTAATAATTACATGAGAAACCGGCAACCTGACAACCGTTCACAAAGAAATTGCTCCAAGAGTTAGTTTTATATTTTGAACTCTTTCTCTATATATATATATATACATACCTACATTGTTCAGTTAGGATGGTAATCCATTTCATGATTCATTCAATTATACGACATGCTTTTTTAAATGTTGAATTGTTAAATTAGTTTATTTATTGCTACAAGCCGTTCGTCGGAAAACTTACACTAGGGTGGGTCAACTTCACAATCCCCTGCTCCCAGCTGCTCTTCTGATCGGTATTCTCCAACAACTATGCAAAATTGAAAGAATTTGGTTATGTTCTGGATTTGCGGAAAATTTCGAAAATCAATTGATTGACGAAATCCATTTTCCATACAATTTGTTTTACCACTTTCGGACACACATCTTGCGATCTACTAAATGAACAAAGTTTTTTTTTCCTTGATTTGTTTTCTGTCGATCTTATTTGCACCAATTCTACCGACGCCAGGGAGGCAGCTCCCACACCTGGACCCTACCTATCGAATCGCGGACCAACGGCTTTACTTCCCTTCTGAACGAAGGTGTGATCAGAGATGTTATGCTTCAGAACATCCCGGCGGCGCAATGAACAAAGTGCAAAATGAATTTACATGTCTGCTGCAAAGAAGTAAGCATCTCAATTTATTTTCAGATCTGTATGACTTCTGGATGACGAGATCAGTGCCAGTGAAAACACGAAGCCAAAGGACTCCATGTAATGTCACCTTAAGTTTGTAGGTATGCGCGGTCCACAAGGCCTAAAGTAAAATCTTAATATCTTTTTGCACAGAAATCGAATCAATCAAGTTATTCTGCTCGAGATTTGGTCAAAATTGAGCAATTTTTTTAATGTTTTGACTAGCATTTGAATAGGTTTATACATACAAAATTTAAAATTCTCCGCAAATCCAGAGCATAACCAATTTCGTTTACATTTTGCATAATTGTTGGGGAACTCAATAGCGATCGAAAAAGCGACAGGAAGCGGGAGTTTGTGATCCGCCGTACAAACTAAACCCACCCTAATGTACACATTTCAGTCCTACAGGATTACGTCATATCCATATTCTCGGTTTCTCAAATAACAAACCATAACTCGAAAGCATTCAAAACGCTCCCTCGCGGAACGCCTGCCCTTCCGATCGTGTTTAATGAACAGAGTTGAATCATCAATCTTTGAAGGAATAGGGGAACACAGAATAAAGTGAATCAAACAACATTCTGCGGTCAGAAGCTTCAATGTCAAACTAGTGAATACAATTCGTCACAACACAGGCAGTGAACAATACACAAGTCACACCAAAGTAATACTAAATAGCTTCCTGATCCGACCGGCGATAGTGCACATTTTGCAAGAATCCACTTTTGTTTGCTCAGTTATAGGTACTTAGTTCATTGCAGCGAGCTTATCTCATCGCGCATTTTTATGAGTGACACACGTGATTCCCTGATCGAATTAAACTGCTCTCATTTGTTGATTCGCGTTGCTAATAACATCTTGTGTGCCAAAATATATGTAACAGATTATGCTGCTCCTTATGAAACGATATTCAACCAAATTCAACGCGATCTAGACACCGTGGCTCTCCCAAACTCAAGGCTCTCGTTCAATAGGCAGCTCGCGTTTTTCTGCGGTCGCATCAGGCAGGCAGGCAGGGCATCGTAGCGGTTAAGCTTAGCTCACAGCAGGTTCATCGCTTAGTTGCAATAGTGAGTCACTGCTATACACATCAAGCCTCGTCGCGCTCTGTAGTGATAAAAAACGGAAAGATAGCCGAAAATAAACGATAAGCTGAGTCACCACCAACAGACGGGTCCTGTCCCTGTGATGGTCAGTTTATTAGCTCATGGAATTCGAACATCGGGCAGTTTATCTCGTTGTGTGAACCAGAGCGGGCACGTGTTTTCGGTGAATTGGTTGTTTGAAATGCTCGATCGTGCCTAACTGTTAATGCAAGATATTTTCCACTGTCGCTATCGTGTTAGTCTAGCGAAAGCGCTTTGGATAACTACAAATAAAATTGATAAACAATCTCGAAGGAATTCGCGAGTTACGATAAGATAAGAAAAGTTCCAATTAGCGTGAACCAAGAACGTGCCACAAAGCCTTTAGAATCAGTTTGCGATCTCGTTTGCGCTCGGGCAGTCTTGTTTGATTTGTGGCTTCTCAACGTTACATTTGCAAGTGAATCGATCCGTAATGACGGTTCCAAGTTCTGGTGAATGTGGTGGACCATCGCCACCACCCCCACCACCTCCGATAAGTTCAGCAACATTATCAGCATCATCGTCACCTCGCCACACCAAGAAAGGAACTGCGGATGGCAACCTTCTGCTAGCAGACATTCGCAATGGGGTATCGCTGAAGCCGACTAAAACTAAAGATAAAAGTACTCCGGCATTCATCAAGAAATCCGGTGTAAGTACCCAAGTAGCAGTTCTCAGAAACAGGTATTGCAAGCAAAGCGTCTTGCCTAATTGAGTTGATGCTGTTGTTGTTATTGTTATTGTTGTTGGTTGGATCATCTCCTCCCTTCTATATAGCAGCAGCGAGAAGCTTATTAGCAAACCACAGGGTGGTGAACGCAAACAAAAACAAGAGAGTAATCGCCGCGTCTGGTTTTTATTTTCATTATCATAAGCCCAATGTCATCATTAGATACGCGAAACTGCTGCTGCGGTGGGAACTTTTTTCCACCTCACGTTATTTCCTATTCCTCTTCTGCAGTTTTCTCTAGAGACGATGAACACCGCTCAGGTGCCTCCGTTCGTGCTCCCGATGACGATGATCGCTAGGTTTTGAATGGGAGAATAACGCAAGTGGAATGAATTTGCTAATAGACGGGTTGGATGAATTTTGAACAGTGCAAATTAAGTTTCGCGAAACAATGTAATAACATGGTCTAGTTTTTCAAACAGCGGATCATTCGAATTAAATCAAGCTGTATTTCGATAGGTTTCAAGGTACAAGTTTTCATCGACGCGTTCAATCAAATCGCGTGATTAATAGTGATAACGGCTTATTGATAACTTATCTTTTAATTGCGCTGGTAAAATACGAAAAATGTGTGTGCCGTTGTTTGAAGGAGGATAAAAGTGATTTGAACTACGAATGAGCACAATCCATTCCAAATCAGCTCCTGATCATTCCCCCCATTTTTTTTTCTCTCCATAGGATTGCATTGATCGGGTTTGGTTTTATGTTCGTCAGTGTCATTGTTATGAGTGTTTTCTCAATGTGTATGTGCTTGTTAACGTCAGTATTTTTCACTGTGTGTATGTGTTCACTAAATGTTTATATTTCTTCCTCATTTCCTCTTTTAAACTGCGTACAACAATATATAGCTTTAAAAAACCGTAGTACAGTATATACCATGACATGTCTAACTTATTAATTCATAATTAATTAATCAAGAAGATGATCTTCTTGTGACATGCTCCATAAACTACTCAGTACATACAACTACATTTTCAGCCTTGGAAGTTTCATTAGAATTCGTAATAAGATTCAATCCCGATTTCCTATGTAGATTGTTACTTCCACCGATGAAGACTGCTCACTGTAGTCGAAATACGTGTCTGTAATGGATACCAAAACAAATTAGGTGGAATTTAATGGAACAACCTTTTTTTCTGTTTTATTTTAGCATTCCGCTAACAACGAATTTCATTACATCAACTACTTTCGTATTATGTGCAAACTAATCGCATATAAGTCCCATCCTGAAATTCCATCGTCAAGAGGTCTAGTTACAGTTCTACTTTTAGAATTGACATATTTTTCGCTGATATAACATGCAAGCTTCATTACAATTGAAAATATTATCAATTACTATGATTTTCCAAATATTCACATGGGAATTTCACTTTGTCACTTCGACTGCCATTTTCTCAAGGATTACTTTTTCAATATGGGACTGATATGCAACTATAGGCAGTTTAGTCATAAAAAATTGTGAGGTGAATATTGTTTGACATGCCATGTCAAAAGAGCAGTTCCTCTCCCCAATATGTATTGTAGAAAAGAACACTAAAAACATAATCCATCAAATTTATGATGAAAATTGGATTGCATTTATGCCATGTTTAGACTAGAAAAATACAAGAATATTTTATCACAATTGTTCTGGTATTTTAAAACAACTTGTAACATAACACGTTACAACTAGTTTGAATATGGCATCATCGAAAATAAATCTAATCAATAAAAAAAAAAATAATAAAAAAAACAAGTCGTAGTTTTGGAAATTACAACTATTGTTAACTCTATTGTTAACTTCACGCAGAAGTAATACAAACAACTAGTTAAAGTATAATATAAAACATGTTGAAAAATCGTATGTATATTTTGTTCTACAAACATTGAAATATTTTTTTTCCAAAGTTTATCATAATTGAGAATTACTCAGGTCTTCCAGCTGAATCAATATGAGTTTGAAACATGCTGTTAATAGCACTTTAGAGCAAACGTAACATAACATATTGTAAAAAAAACACGAGCTACTTCAAATGTATTGTTGGTAAATTTTGCTATGTTACTTGGAATTACTTGCCGAAGAAAGCATCCAGCTAAGTAGACATACGAAAAACTTGTGATTGAAAGTACGTGTCCGTTTTATACGGTTATGATAAAATTCACAAAACTGTAAAATCATGCTAAATTTACTCGCAAATGCAAGTAGCTCCAGTTTCACGCTGCGTACAAAACTGATCAAAATGCTGATTTAATGAAAGTAACACCGACAAAACACGTGTCTGGCCGATGTTAACAAATTAGAAACATCGATCAATGAAAGTACTGACATAGAAACGTAAATTCCATTTCAACGCGAGAACAAAGCTTCGTTGTTATTTTTTACAAAACAATGTAGATCAACATTCCTCAAGTCTACACCAGAAACATATCGCTCAGAGAGATACAACAAAACACCATAGTATACTTGCGTCGAGTCTCGTTATCTATCTTTATCGCCTTTGCAGATCCACTAATTTGTGCCGCCTGGGTGTGCTTCGTAGCTAGGATTGTTACGTGCGCTTCCCCGTACACTTTAGTATGACGTCATCCTCCGTACTTATACAGTACGGTTCAATGAAATTCACCCCCGCTACGGTACTACGAGAGGAGACTGCCTGAAATGCAATACAATCGATCGCAATATCGGCAGTAAGGTGAAAACAAAACCCCTTCAACACTTAAAGCAGTGACTATACATTTTCACTTTTTCGAGTGGAATTTATTGATAGGTCGGTATATACAATCGACAGATTGTATCACTCTTATCGCAGCGCGGATTTTGCTCTCTTTATTTCAAACTGGTAGCTAACAGCTGATCATTATTAGCTGGATTATTGTTAGCGGGAATACCAAGTATGCAACAGTGGAGTGCAATTGTGAACGGCTGTTGGTATTTTCTTAGATTATATTTGTTGAAATTTTCAAAGAGTTCCCTGTTTATAGCAAACTCAACATTGAGTGACACTTTTTGCCGTTTATGTCAATTCAGTACAGGCGAAGAAAGTGCAGAATTATCATTTTCAGATGTTTTGTGCTGCTAAAGCAAACAAACTAACAATTCTTCGTTACACAGCACTCCAAGCAAAGACCTCAGTGTTTATTCCATGGGAGTTACATTTCGCTCCATTTACCTTACACAGTAAGCTGTTGCTTCGCTTGGCATTACTATATCGGACACAGATTGAGTTCGATTAGCAGTTTCCTGGGAAAATTGGGTAGGATTTATTGCCAGAGGATGACAACAGCGTGGAACCACGCAAAATTTACAATGACAACAATTTCATACAACGCTGAAATTGAGCCCCGGTAATTAATTTACTGGTTGTACAAGATTTCTCAAAAAAAAAAAATAATTTCACCAAAAATCCTCTTCTTCTTTTTTTTCATTTTTGTGTATTAAATTAAGTAGCAAATTTAGAAACAACCTGCTACAGGTCTAAGTTTCAGCAAAAGGATTAAAATGAAGCATAGCCTGATAAAAGATCCCGTTACCCTATTACACCATGATAAGAATCCTCGTTAATCGAAGGTTACCACTGACTGATATCTGTTAATAGCTTTTTGCGCAAAACAAGTGATCATTTTTTTTTCTTATCTTGTTTTCAGGGAGCCAACAAATCTCTTTCTCCACCACCACCACAACTAAACGGAAGCAACGGAGACGTTTCGATTGTGGAAATGAAGGATGCCTTACAGCAGGAACTGCGAAACACTCTCAAACGAAAGGTTAAGACACACGACGTCGAACAAGGCGACTGTACCAAGAAAGAAGAAATCGAAAAATCCATGGAAATCAACCGTACTGAAGTTCAGCTCAAAGTTAACACAAATGCCCAGTTACCACCCACTGTAATGGAAAAGGATGTCGTGGATACTCTTCAGCCGGTTCCTGGTCCTGTAGAAAAACTCCAAAATGAACCAAAAGTTGTTAATGGGGGTACTGCTAACGTTAAATTGACGTTTGAAGGCTTCCAAAGTCCTGTTTTTCAGAGGGCACCAGCCAAACCTCAAAGAGCCATACAAACTCAGATTGTAGATGATTCTAAACCAATCGTTCCAATTACCGCAAAACAAACGGCTTCTGTTAAATTAGAAACACAACAGAATGGACCGGTGAAACCGGAGGCAGTAGAAAGTACTCCAAATGTCAAGAAAATCACTGAAGCATTTCAAACCCCTGCTCTCCAGAGATCTTCAGCAAAACCTGAAAGGGCCATGCAAAGCAAACCTTTAGAAAACACTAAACCAGTTGTTCCAAGCACCGCTAGCAATGTCAAGGATTCAACGAAAGCGCACAGTCCAGTGAAAGTCGAAATTAAACCATTCGAAAGCTCAAGAGCGCCGTTGAATGGAACATTGAGGAAAGTCAGCCCTCAGAAAGCCCTGACAATTGATGTCAACGTTAGTCAGGATGACCGACTTAAGAACACTATCTTATCTCCGGAGGTAAAATGTGGAAACGCTGCGATACGACCATCGCAGATAAAATCACTGACTCAGCAAGGCAGTCACGTTTCGCATACCGACATTCTGGAGAATCCCAAACCAATCAGCAAAAATCCCATTTCGATGGGGGAATCTCCAACCTATGTGTACTCGTCGCCCACTCCCAAGACTATCAGTCCCGCTAGCAGTGGCCTGTCATCCCCCCGAACTCCTACCCGCACCACTATTCTAGATACTAAATTTAGCAACGGTATCAGTAGAACACCTCCAGCTTCACCAATAGTCGATCGGAATGTTCCGCAGAAAAAGCTCATGATGACCCATCCAAAGGCCAGCTTTACTTTGAAGCGAAATGCTTTCTGCAACAATCCCAAAGAGAATGGCCAGAAAGAGCCTAAACCAGTATTCCGAATCCTGTCAAACCTGGAACAGGCAGAAAGCATGGAAGCAGCGCAAGAACAGAAGGTACCACTCAAGCAACAAGCCAAAAAACAGCCTCCCAAAGCGGACGACCCGGGAGAGGAACCGATTCTGACTTCGTATGTGAGTTTCTCCAAGGAACTGGCCAATGCGCCCAACAATTATCCGGAAGTAGTAACGAAACACACGACTATCGGGGTTGTGAAACAGGATCTATTCTTTGACAATACGAACCTACGAGACATTAAGATCGACATCATCGAAGGTGGAGGGCAATTTAAGGTCGTTAACAAGTAGATACGAAGCATGCTCGATATTTGCGAATATACGATTAAGACTGAGAAGATGCGGTCGACGCGTTGGGACACGCGATCAGTGTTTCAAATTATAAATTTGCGTGGGAAAGCGATTCGACGTTATATTGGAGGAAGTGTATAATAGTGCGATAAGTTTTTTAGACTTTTCACGTTTCAACGCCAATAATAGCATGTCAGTTCCATATGTAGCATTTAAAATGTGATAGTCAAAGTTAGAAAGCGCATTTCTCAAGTAAATGTCCAGAAACTTAGTAAGCTTTTAATGGAATAGATAATAGTAGTGAATATTAACGATTGGTAATGAATAAAATAAAATTAAAATTACAAAAACCGTTACGGGACTGATGTGTGATTGGGCAGTGAAACTTTAATTTGTATTTGAATCAAGCCATCTAATGTAAGAAATAAAATTTATTTGTACCGATCAGAAGATTTGCTCTTTATTTTCGACATATATAATATAATGGTAATGGTGAATGAAAACTAAAGGGAACTTAATTTCAACTGACTGACTGACAACTGAAGGATGTTGCCGTAAAAAAAACAATGAGTTTTCGTAATCTATATAGGGTTTTTGATCTAATTTCCGTCCTACTAAGCACAACCCGCGCTTTACCTCTCTTTTCTGAACGAGTTCAAACAATAAATGGAATATTTCTGACAAAGATTTTAGACGTCATCTTCATTCACGTTTCCACGTTTGATAAAGAGTCACAAATTGTTGAGGTATTGTTTAAAATCTAATATTGCTTCTTGATTCTAAATTCGTTTTATGAGTTTCAATTTCGTCCTAACGCATTGAAACGCCATTAGATTTTCTTCGTCCTACGGTTAAACGTAGAAAAGGGGGATTCTCTAGGAGCGCTTCTTTTGTTTTGAGAACAATGAGCGTTAATGGTCATATAATGCGCTCTAACAGGATTTATGTTGTAGCTAATACACTAACTATTATTGATTTGTGCACGGTTAAATCATTGATATTATTGATCTTTTCTGATCGGAAATAGGCGATTACGACGAAGTAGTGCTCTACCCTAGCTGTTCAAATAAAAAAAAACATCTATCTACGTAGACGCATTTTCCATGACACGTTCAGATATCAAAATCTCTCCAGCTCTGATATAGATATGAACTAGCCTAAGGCTAAAAATCTCTTTAATAAAGCTTAAAAAAAATCCAGCTCTGATAGTTTCACGATCCCTAGAGGATATTCATAATAGAAAAATTAAATATAGTATCATAATACAAAAATTCCCAAACGCATACAAATGTATAACTAGTTTTGAAAATTCCAAAATCGTATTTACATCTTCGAGCATCCCACCAAATCACACTGTTCACTATTTCGTAACATCTTCGGTAATTTTTAACATATTTTTGATGTTGTTTATCTTGTTGGGAAGGTTTTTTTTTCTTTCTTTTGAACCTCTAAGATCTTAAATATGTTTAAGATAGTATTATCAAACTGCATACCTCAGAGAGCTTCGGAGGTTTTCAACGGGCATCGGACGAGTACATACTTCATAATTGGTGTTGGTCTGAAAATTATAGGAACCTCGGCAGATTCCATAAAACACTTGGATTTTACAAATTGAGAGATTTTTTAAATAATTTAATTAACACGAAGTTTACGGTGCAAAAATTGAAAAATACTCGTTTTGATTTTTCTAAACATTTTAGAAAATTACATTACAGAGTTTAAAAAAATCAGTTTGAGTGCTTTAAGCAGAAATTTCATGGTAACATCAATAGTCATTCACATCGGTTTATCGGTGGAAACGCTGTCGAATAGAAACAGATCACACTCACCTGGGAAGCTTAGAGCGTAGTAAAAAACGATTGCGTATGGCAAGACCTATTAGTACTTTGCTAAGATTTTGGACTTAGACTCCATGCGAGACGAGAAAAGCATAATTTTTTAAATGTTACCTAATTAGTCGTCACACAACCTACATGGGAAAACATGTCCCCGAGAGATTTTGAAAAATAAGCCCCACCCTAGTGTAATACTCCCACTGAGCTTATTAGTGCGTGACCCATGTCAAAATAAATCCAGGCAGTGATATCTCCTTTTCCGGTTCACTGAACCTATTCGATCGGTTCTCGAAATTATGTATTGTTTTGTTTTATTCTATTCATCTCACGTTTCATATTTTTACAGTACATAGACAATAGACAATGTAGTGTACTAATCCGTTTCGTTTCATTTAGAAAAAATATCTAACAATATGCGAATTCAGTATTTCTGTAGTTTTAGTTAAGTTTTGCCTCACGTTTCGTATTTAACTTCAACAAAAAATAGAAAACATTCTCTAACCAAGTCCGTTGTCCAAAAGTGGTAAGATAGGAATTACATAGTGGCTTATAAAAAAGGTAAAAATCCATAGCAATTCAAACAACATCTACTAATGATTGAAATGGTTGCTTAAATATAAGGCTTTTGATGTTGATGTTATTACCGGTTAAATACACCAAGGGTTTCTAATAGGAAATACTTACTGTTGTATGTCACTTTCTAAAACTTCTGTTGGTATTAAGTGTAGTTTTCTACTGCTTTGTTTGTGTATGCGTATGAGTGTATCATTGTTAAATTAATGCGTTCAGTTTCTATTTTATAGCGCGAATTCTGTAGTCCATTGTTATATTTGTGTGTTATGTCTTACTTGTTGTGTATGTAACGTTTATGTATTTATGTACCCATCTTGACTTACGGGGAATAATTAATCCGTTGATGACGTTATGTAGTTTTTATTGCAGTCTTCCCCTTATCTCATTGGGACGCCACCTGGAATCGATATTGGCGTTCCATATTTTCGATCTCCGCCCAAATGCTACGGACTTCTTTGAAAAGCTGTAAATTTGAAAATATCGTTGTGAAAATGCCTATAACAGCGACCAGCAACTTACCATCGTTAGCCAATGTTCGTCCGCCAGCAGTTCGTTTAGGATAATTGTGGCTGCCTTTGACGAATCGTTGGAAATCTGCTGGTTGACTCGTTTTGCACATTCCACGAACATCATATACTTTTGGTGGCAAATCTTGTGTAATAGTTCAAAACGGGAGGAACAAATACGACAGAGTAGAAAGTTCTTCTCATACTGAATCCGGTTGTCTTGAATGGGGCACGGAGCCAGCGTTGCCGAGTTGTACGTTTGACCCTGAAGAACGATACGCACCGAAATTCCTGGTTGATGGCATGCCACGCATACCGGATGGTTCATATTCGTGTGACCAAGCTCGGTCATGATATCATATGCGGGGAACGTTGATATCGACGTGATCATATTTCGCGACCACGGTGTAATCTGAATCAGTCGTCGCTTCCGATCTTCGGTGAGACTATCGATGGTCTGCACTCGCGATAGGAAGTAGTCATCTACGAACACAAACAAACATTATTCACTCCAAACGCTATTACCTGCACAACTAGAAAGTTACCTTGCTCCTGGAAGATTTCCTTCAAGAAATTGGAATCCAATGCCTGTGAGATCAAAGTCTGAATGTACACCTCAAAAACGTCCTGGTAGATCTTGGTTTCGGTCATCGATTTCTCCAGAAACTGTTCCGTATCGTCGATGGACATTTCGTTGCGCATGAATTCAACCACGGATTCCATATGGTTGTGCACTCGGAATCGAACGGGAATTTTTACGTATAGTTTCTTGCTTTCGGCATTCCACGCAGCGTACTGTTTGGGACCGTTAATAATACCAATATTTATAAAATATATGTTTGAGTGGCTTAAAGTCAAAAATAGGGGAAATGAAAAAAATCAATTCAATCAAACGCACTCGCCGAGTTGCGTATGTTTTGACTTCCAAATACTCAATCAAACATAATTAAACAATAATTTACGTCAAAAGATGAATTACATCTCGTGTAAAAATAGTTATTCCGAACATACTTATGTTCGATATAAGGAGCGTTCTGAAAAGTAACAAAAGTTTTTTGAAAATTCATCAAACTTTAGTTTCGATTGTAATTTATTAATTTTTCATGATTTTTCAAGGGAAAATTAAACAGAATGTTAATTTCCTTAGAATGAACGCACATACAGATTTAACTCATTTTGAACAGAGGCAGCTATGTAAACGTATCATTTGGATTTTTTCGAAAATGTTCCCGAAATCGAAGTTCAACTCCTGTGATTCGATAACTTTCTTAATTCGAAACCCAAGCTAAGAACATGACCTGAAGAGGATCTCGAAGCAGCTACGGTAAATATACTAGTGTACCCGTTAGATGTAACAAGGATCTCCCAGCAGCTACGGAACAAGGTATAATCTAGTTGCAGCGGTGAACTCCTAGCAGAAACTTAAGAAGATCAAGGCTGCCTTTGCGAGTTTCCGACATATTTGAAGATCAAATCAGATGAGTCCAACGTACCAAAATCAGAATTTTCAACTCAAACGTGAAATCTGTACTGTTGTACGCCACCGTCGCGCGTGGTGCGTATCAGTAGAGAACAGCTCTATTGTCGATGTGATCAGAATATCAGCTGAAATTCGACAACGTAAGTCGAGGTGGGTCAACCACACACTACCAAGGGGCGGGATCGAAATCGGAAAGTAAGCGAACCCGACAGGATGAGCACATCAATTTCGTCTTTCCCCGGAAGTATCTACCGAATTCGCCATTCTCAAGATGTTTCTTTTAAGCCTTTATAGCATCCTCTGGAAGTGTCTTCCGACTACCTGCCTTGCCCTGAATTTTCCACAGCCTTTTTTGAAACTTTCTTTCAACTTGCACCAGAAGTGTATTCAGACTTCCGCAGAAAGGTTTTTCCGATTTCTTGCGAATTTTTTTCACCACCCTTCTCCCCCGGATGGATCAATTTTAATGGAACTTGTATTATTTTTTCGAATGTTATTTTAAAGCGCGTGTACTCAGTGCACTATTGCGGTTAATACTGCGGATTTCATAAAATCTGCCGCGTTATGCAAAATTTTATCAGTTCTGACGATATTAACTATAGAACTTACCGTTGATACATTCCGATGAAGCGTTTTACCATTCTGGTCGAATGGTTCATACTTTTGCAGCAACGTCTTACCATCTACCCGCCAAACTGATGGGTAGTCCTGAACGAGCTCCGACCGAATAACCACGAAATCACCAGTCTACAATTGCATATTATGCAAATAAAACATCAGTCTCTTGGCTATGATTCGCGGGATCGCACTAAACTAACCTGAAAATCATCATTAGAGCTGGTAGACTGTGGTTGCTGTGGTTGTTGTTGTTGTTGTTGCTGTTGTTGATTCACCATTGTCCCTGTACTGTATTGCTGAATCTGCGGTTGTTGTTGTTGCTGCTGTTGTTGTTGTTGTTGTTGTTGTTGTTGTTGTTGTTGAATGTACTGATTCTGGATGATTTGATTGGTAGCAATGGCCGCATGCGGTTGGTACATTTGCTGTTGCTGCAGTAGCTGTTGTTGTTGTTGCTGTTGCTGTATTTGTTGCTGGAGAATTGACTGCTGATGTACTGTTTGTTGCTGCTGTTGAGGATTGGTCATTGCAGGCTGACCAACGACTGCTGTTCCGGCTCTACCAGCGAGCGCATTGTCACTATCGCTTCCATAGTCATAATCAGCTATACCAGCACCAGCCGCAGCCACTACAATGTCATTAATGTATTGTCAGAACAAGGTTGTTGCACAATATTTAAAAAAAAGTCGAAATTAAAATAGTGTATAAAACCAGTCATAGATAACATAAATGTACAGCATATAAATTGTAAGGGCAATTACCATTCATTTTGGCGATTTTAGAGGTTTCAATACGACAACATTTGCGAGTTGGTTAGTGATCCAAGATTTGATATTGATTGGCGATATTGTTCAAAGTTTGAGGTAGCATGGAACGATGGAATGAGAAATATATAGATGAGAAATTCGTTTGAATTGCGGTGCGAACGAAGTGTTTGATTTGGCGCATAAAAAGAATTTGAGAGAAAAATACACAAAAATATGCAAAAGGGCAAACCACAGTTTTATACAGTTAAAAGCGGTTTAGATGGCGAGCAATATGTATTATACAATGGACAATAGCAACTGAACAAATGGACACTTTCATTTAGCTAATTAATGGATGAGGGTGAGTTAGTTTTTGATTGTATGTACACACCTGACAGGATGTTCGAGCGGGGCCGTTGTTTTCCAAGATTAGATTTGGGTTTTTTGACCTTCTTGCGGCCCATCATATCTTGTTCTTCGTCGTCATCATCCTGGAAAAGGGGTTGGTAACAACGCAATAATAATAAAAAAAACAACAAACGATTGAGGTTTTAAGGACATGGCACGATACAAGTAACGTATGATAAGAAGATAGAAGCAGTTTTTTTTTTTCAACTGGAACATACTTTTTCCTGAGGCGTCCAGGCAGGATCTTCGTCAGAGTCTCCTGCAAAATCCGCCGGGTCCTCCATTTGGTCTAGTCCACCGGTGCCTTGGCCACGCTCAATCATTTGCTGTATGTTGCTTGCCTTGGCCTTAGCCTTTCGATTCGAGGTCTGGCGACGCTGGGGAACATTCAAGGGATCGGCAACTACGTCGATCAATGGATGGCCGAGACAGGTGGGCAATAGTAGGGGTAGGAATAGTATAAGGACAGAAAAGGACGGGTGATGGTTATAGAGCAAGAAAATGGATGAAAAGGTAAAGTGACGTTGAAATTATTAGTTTTAAAAGTACTGTTGGTTGACTGGTTGTTTGGTTTGTTTTACAATTATTAAGAAACCTCTCTTAATGCCAAAATTAATAGTTAAAATATTTATGCAATACATAGATGTAGGCCTCACAGTATGCAAAGGTATGGTATTACCAAGCCTGAGACAGCGGTTTTGATTTCCGGTCCGATCGAGTTAATTTTTCCGGTTGGACATTTTCTCGACTTGCCTGGGCATATAGTATAATCATAGTGATATGAATGTTTAAACCGATTTTTCTCAAAAACAAAAGAAGCGCTCCAACCGAATCAATTTTTATCTTCATCCGATAGGCCGAAGTGGGGTACGTGCTATTGTCGAAAGATAGAAGCGAAATTTAAATTTTGGAAATGCAATTTCTTGAAGTACAATAAACCAAATGATCTACAACTTTGCTCAATTATAGTCAAAATGAGGATCTTTTATTTGGTTTTATTAAAATCTAAAAAAGTTACATCCATGTTATTTAGTTCTATTAAGTATATCACCTTATTTCAAACTTTCGTGCAAAACGATCCATCCATATGGTTTATTATACTTCAATGGTTTATTGCATATACTTCAAGAAATTGCAGTTTCAAAAAGGATATACCAAAAAGAGACGTTTTACTGAAATTGTCTACTTAATCAAGCTCAAAATTATACCAACAAATCTTGAATACTTGACTAACCAGCAACCAGCATTTCATTCACATCCAGAAGACTTACAGCTCTTTGAACTTTTTTGGAGAAAAACAAACTTTCGAGATGATACAATTTTTGTCCGGTATTACAGATTACGCGGGTGTGGTCGTGATAGATCGTCGTTTAAAGTCATTGTTTACATTTGACACATGCCCTTTTCATGATTGAATCAAATTTTCCCGAAAAACATAGGGTTAACTACCCCATTTTCGGCCTATTAAGCACAACCCGCACTTAGTCTTTCTTAATCTAGCGCAGTTTAGCACCAAACGGAATGTTATTACTACTGATGGCTTCCAAATTGATTTACCTTTCCGTACGTATTGTAAGATTTGATAAAGAGAAACCAATCGTTGAGATATTGTCAAAAGTCTAACACTACTTCTTGACGCCAAACTCGGCCTACGGATTCTAAACTCGGTCTAACGCATTGAAACGCCAATGTATTCACTTCGGCCTATTGAATGAAGATAAAAATTGATACGGTAGGAGCGCTTCTTTTGTTTTTGGGAATAATGGGTGCAAACCTTCATATCACGCATTCTCATTAACTTCTTTCGAAGCTTATTAACTAAAGTATCGTACCAAACGCATTCTCATTGACTTCTTTCGAAGCTTATTAACTAAAGTATCGTACCAAACGCATTCTCATTGACCTCTTTCGAAGCTTATTAACTAAAGTACCAAACGCATAATTGACTTGTTAACTCTGAAATCATGGATTTATTTGAAGTTTTCTGCTCGATAGGCCCAAAATGGGCGATTAGGCCGAAGTAGTTCTCTACCCTACGCCAGATTTAATTTGCCAAAAATCCATTCCCAAGAATATTATACTCAGAACGGACCAAATTCAAGAATGGACCATTTCCACCGGAATTTCTTGTTCCTTGCGGAATATGTTTTATTTTGATTTTTCATTCCGTATTCATGTACATCCGGAAAAGTTGCAGCTACGGACGTAATCCCTTTGATGATTGTAAAAATATTGCAAATTTATACCTATATATAAAAATGAATTTCTGTCTGTCTGTCTGTCTGTCTGACCCTTATAGACTCGGAAACTACTAAAACGAACGGCGTGAAAATTTGTATGCAGGGGTTTTTGGGGCCGTGAAAGGTTTTTATGATGGTTCGAGGCCCCCTCTATTAGGAGGAGGAACTTCAATACAAATTAAACAGAAAAATATAGCATGCTTTTTTGAATCGACGCATAAACTCAAGCTTATATTGAATCCCGAGCAATGCCGGGCACACTCAGCTAGTGTAACATAAATGAAGCACAAATATTGTGTTGATGTTACACATGTTACACGTTATAGAAGTTATTTAAAATGTGTTACCGAAAACACCATCGTATATTTTCGGAACAGTATCGAAATTATTTCTAAGGTTGATTGGATCTTGGTGAAGATATGACCCAATTGACCTTAGTTTTGAATTTATTTGAAAACAAATTGAAAAAAAAACTTTTATTGACTACCCATTGATCTACTCTAGCCTCTCTTTTGTAAACAGGGGCGCAAAAATGAATACTCACTGACCAAGGAAAAATGCTGGTTATCGATATTAGTTCTTGTGGACTAATTGGATCGGGAACTATTCCAATAGAGTGTGTCATAACCAGGGCGCTACATTTTCGAAGTACTAAAATGAGCTTGATTTTTATCTTCTTTCCGAGTCAATGCATCATTTTCAGAACGGCTAGCAACGCCAAATGAAAATGAAAAAAAGCACGTTCGGAAAGGTTAACTTTGGATTTTCCAGTATTGCTTTGCTCACTTCCTATCAATGGGAGGAACGTCGATTTTTGAGCTAAAAGCGAGGTTCAATTTGGCTTTTATTTCCTTTCACCGACACTCTGTCACCTGCTCTGTCAATTTATTTAATATGCATTATGCCCCGTTTTCATTACTTTTCTTTAGATAATTATGTGGATGGAAGCTAAAGCAAACATATTACATGTTATCTTCAAATGTTTACATGTGCAAAATGCATTAAATATCTATTTTCAATTTTCGTCTTATACGTTATGACACCTCGATTGACGAATAAACAGAAATAAGAAAGCTAGCAGTCTCTTCGTCGCATCGATTTTGTCGATTGAAGATATTGTGAAGCCTTGGTCATAACAACAACACCCAGCTAACATCTTGCCGTCATTAAAATCGGTTTCCAATAATTATTACATGTGGAAAAGCTTAAAAGTTTGAGCTTATTAGACCAGGCTTTAAAACAGTATATCAGTATAATACCTATCTATTTATAGAATTAAAAGATAATTAAAGCTGATATCATCTATGAAATGTTTCAAAAATAATATTTAGATTGATTGATTGACAAATATTTATTACCAACCAAGCTACATAAGAAGAACGTACGACAAATTTCTAGATAGAGCTGGAATTAAGGGGCGTAACAACTTTTGAAAAAAAAATGATTTCTCTCGATGATTTATAGAAAGCCAGGGCTCGCCCACTCAAATCAACGTCACCATCGGGTAGGGGAAGACTTCTCCTACCCGTTGGTTATGTTGGTTTGCGGGGGCGTGCCTTGAGTTTCGAGAAATCATCGAGAGAAGTCATTGTTTACAAAAACTGTTACGCCCTAACTCCAGCTCTATCAAGAAATCTTCTTCAACATTTCAAAAGGGCGAAACTGCTTTTTTTTAGCAGTTTATTTCTCGCAAATGAAAGGTTACACATGCCTAATAATACAACACCATCAAGTAGGGGAATGTTTCCTCTATTAGCTGGTATGGTTATAATGCAGGATATAGCTTTTGTTTGCAAGAAATCGGTGGTTGAAGTCGTTGTTTATAAAAGCAGTTTCTCCCTGATGACATCGCAATGAACTCTACCGCTAATGCAGGGAAGCTGTAAATTCATTTCACCAAGCCGACGAAGCGCTGACTATGGTGACTTAAACTACAGATAAGTTACGAACCTGATGCCAATAGTTTATGATTGATAAACTTTCGGCATTCATGTAAATTTCGAATACAATGTTGTCTAAAACCGTAAGTATGTAACAGCATAAGCTTGAATCATAAAAAGTAGGTCTGCCCAACATGCGGCCCGAGAGGCGGACGTGGTCTCTAGATTTATACAATGAAACAATGTTAGCTCAATTTTCAGGCCAGAAATGATAAAAAAGGAGCTTGAAACATACCTATGTATCGAACATAAATACAACCACTGAAAAACAAAACAAGTTTTGCAAGGTTGGGCAGACTTGATCTAAAGCTACGGCTAGGTTTATAAAGGCATCATAATTATATTCAAAAAACACTTATTTGAGAAAAGATATATAAGGTCTAAAAACTACGTAGGATTTTTTTGAGATCTTATTGGGGCACGCTGCATCCGAAATGACGGATTAATCAACTTTCATTTCAGAAAAACCCGATGTACATGAAAGTTGATTAATCCGCACTTTCGGACATAGCGTGTGGAGAACTCATAGTGGGAAAACTTCCATACAATGCGCTTGTATTAGTATAATTTTTGTTTTCCAAAGGATCACATGTTTACTCTTTTCTAGCGGCGCCGGTGGAATAGTCTATGAGTTGATAGGTCGATAGGTAGAAGGTTCAGGTATCGGGGCTGCCTTCCTGGCGTCGGTAGAATTGGTACTCAGTACAAGAAATAAGATCGACGGAAAACAAATCGAGAAAAAAAATCTTTTCAATACAAGATGTAAGTTAAAGATACCTGTAATTTACAAAATGTTAGTCACATCTGAGTATCCTTTTTTTAAATCTAACTAAATGCAGCAAGCTCTCATAAACATAACTTGGTTTCATACGTCTCGGTTGATTTCGATGAAAAATTTATGGCGAGTGTTCTAAATTTCAGAAGTAAACCTTTTGGCATGTTATTTTTTATAAACATTCCATAGTTTGGAAAATGTATAAAAACCAATGTATGGCAATAAAAACAAATCCCTCACACAAATAAGTTAGCTATGCAGTTAAGAAATCTGAAATAAACGCCAGAGGCTTCATAAAAAATATAAAGCGGGGCGGTTTGGCCAGACGGGAGGGCCTGGTCATATAACACCACCAGTACAGATACAACGTCGCTAATGCAATTGGCCAACACAGCATTCCCATCACTCCTCGTCAACTGTCACCGAACGTACCGCATCGCCTTCTCCTTTCAACCAACAACAGCGGGTCTCTTTAACAGGTCATACTTACTTCTATTTCGGATACTACAAATATTAAAACCACGCCAGAAAAAGGTGCAGACAGAGGCATTTCAGATTGTTTGATCAGATTTCTTTTGTTTTTTTTTTAATCGCGATTTTGTGCCACAATTTTGAAAACATTGAATGAAATTGAAATATGCTACATTAAAATGTGGCTATTTTCCGATCTGGCCGATACTATAAGATTGTCCGTTTAGAGCAATCCAATCGGTCGGGGGAAAATGTACTTCTGGATAAATACAGTGTCCGTTTAACGAATGCTACATACAATATTGTGCTTACAAGTAGTTATTTCAATTTCATTGACAATGATTTTTTTTTCTAGATTGTTTTTAAAATTTTCGTGCTTTGGCATGGGTGCTACCTCTGTGCTACTCTCTTTTTCCTTAAAACTATAACAACAAAAACGCATTCAACATACCTGAAAAAGAATACATGGAAGTGCATTTGAAATTAAATTAAAACAAAGACTCAGCTTCAGTAATAAAGAATCTTATATTCTGCATTTTTTCTTTCCATTTTTTCACTTGACTTGGACTGTTCAAACGCAAATCCTAATTGTAGTTTGTTTTCCTTAGTGCTGTGTCTTCCTATGTAATCCGGCTGCCCGATGAGTAAAAATGAGATATTTTAAAGCTGCATTGAGTTGCATTTCACCTGGTCGGTAGATGTACGTACCATGACGTGAGAAAAATGCACTACCCTTCTCATGAATATCTTTGCAAACAGTTTACATTTCAGCACAAGTTCTGGATACTGTGATACCTAAATTAACTTATTACAATATACTGTTAATTCTGCCTGTCTGCGTTTCATGTCCAGTTTATTTGTACAAATAACAAATTTAATTCATCGTGAAATGATACCTTCAGTATGCTTCCCTTTATATCATACAAAGAGTTTTACGCACTATATTCACTTTTTCTTTTACCAACTGAACAACAGAAATGAAAATTAAATTAATTATAAAAATAACGCTCTTCTACTGCTATTAACATCATTCTGTTTTATGAATGAGAGTAAATTGTTCATATATGTATATTTTTATATGGTACAAGTATTTACAATATTAATCCATCTCGCTTTCAGCAACGCATTACCGTCCATCACTATTTCATAATTAGCGCATTTGCATTTCTATTGATTAACAGTAACAGTAGCATTGCAACAGCTAGATCCTCCGTTTCACTTTTGTGCCTTTGCTGTGTATCTATAAGTATGTGAATTGTTAAGGTTTTCCTTCCTTCCTGCCTGCCGCATGGACTGCGTAATCAATTATGTTGATTTCGAATCTAAGATCAAACCTAGAGTTCCATATCACAGAGACCACCCGCTAAAACCACGAGTTTTAACTTTTATTTAAATGAGTTTTGCTTCTGTTTTTTTTTTACAAGCATTTCAAATCTTTGCATGAGATTCCCGATTAGAGGGTAAGAAAAGAAAATATTAAAAAAGTGAATCACTTTGCCAATGGCATCCTACTCAGTCAGCTTGTAGGTGAAAAATTGCAGCTCCCTTTGTGTACCTGATGAAATTGATTTTTCAGCTGGAAAACTAGCGTATTTTTTTTTTTTCAATAATAAGCGTTTCAAAATAGGGACGCGGCAAAACGTGGCAAACATGTGTCCGTGAGATTTTGGATTCTGCCCCCAAACCTAGCATTATGAAGTGTGTATGTGAGATGGTAAAATCTCTCTTATGGTATCCATCGCTCCATTTCTTCTCGCATAAAATGATTCACATACTTTTCTATAGTTTGTAGGATGAACTGAGAGAAAATACACGATCTGGTAGCACCCTGGCCAGTGTTTGAAATAAACGTTCTTATGGATATAAAAAATCTTCATCTTCCTTTTAAAGGATACTACAGCACAACTAAAAACAAACGAGCAAATTTTCCTCTTCAGCGTATTGGTTTGCTTTTCCGGTTTTTGTACAAGTTACTCGAGGATTGGAAACGATAGTAATCTGATGGCACGATCCACTCGATTTTGGTGACAAAGGGTGGAATGGACATAGAAACAGAGTCAAAAAAAATAGAAGGATTGTGGATTGGTAGGGGTGGACTTAGAAGCGTTACCACCTCTGTCGCCGAAGATGTAGATCAAACAAACTGAATGCACCTTCGTCTTGCTGCTGGGCAGCTGCGGCATGGTGATAATAAGATTGCTGTATCATTTGCTGCTGCAACTGCTGATGATGTGGGTGGGAGGGATGTGTCATTGGGAGACTACTCGGATTAAGAGCGGCTGCGGCAGCAGCGGAAGTAAGTAGATGTTGAGCCGTGGGGGTCATGATAATATTTTGCTGTTGACTTTGATGCTGCGTCAACTGAGACTGTTGCTGTTGTTGTTGTTGTTGAGAAGAAGCAGAGGACACTGCGGATGAAGATGAGGAGGATGCACTTGCCGATGATGGTGATTGGTGTTGACCGGCGGAAGGTGAACGTGATCTCGCAATAGATTGTTGTTGTATCTGTTGCTGCACATGTTGGTGCTGGTGGTGCTGTTGAAGTTGTAGTTGCTGAGCAGTTTGCATCTTCTTTTGATTGCGTTCTATTTGAAGCTGTAGTTCGGCTGTTGCGGCAGCTGCTGCTGCTGCCGCGGCCGCCATTGCTACTGCTGTATTGTCATTTCGAAGCGAGTTGTAGCTACCACCTTCACTAGAAGTACTGTCGTACGTTAAATTATTACCTTCTGCCGTATCGTATTTGCGCTTCCGGTTGTCCTTCTGAGCCGTATAGGAAGCGTATCGGGGGTCAGGTTGTTGCTGAAGTTGATGTTGCTGTTGTTGTTGTTGTTGTTGCTGCTGCTGCTGCTGTTGTTGAGGTTGCTGAAGATTTGCCGGCTGCTTCTGCTGCAGATTTGGAATATGGAAATTAGACATGTATTGTTCAGCGTGTAGCATACCATTACTAACATTAAGAGCCAATTGTTGACTCTGTTGAGCCTGAGGCGTCTGCTGTTGTTGTTGTTGCTGCTGCTGCTGCGGTTGTTGTGGTTGTTGAGTAGTAGCCGATTGCTTATTGGCAGCATTATTAGCAGCATTATTCTTGTTTGCATTAGCAGAATTTCCCGTCGGTCGAGACCAGGTGGTCTTCCGATTGCTTCTGCTAGCCGGCGGTGGAGACGTATCTCGTTCGCCCTGCAAAAATTTCAGATAGCTTCCCATGAAGCCTTTGGAATCCTTAGGTGGTACGTTAAACTTCTTGGCTGGTGTAGCTGCAAGACCATTGTTACCAGAGGCTGCTGACGTGGCACCATCATTGGAAGTACCTTGCTGCTGTTGGGAATTTTGTCTCGAGTTTTCTGCAAGAAATCCAAGTTCTTCCTCTATATTCGGGACTACAACCTTATTACTGTTTGCAGCATTAGTAGAAGGCCGTTCGTCTTCGCCTCCGCGACCAGGTGTAGTCAGATTAGTGCTATCGGACGCACTGAGCAAAGTGGTATAAGTTGGAGTATCGAGATTACTGCTGACCGCTGCCGCGAGGGTGTTGTTAATAATCTCGTTTGGTATCAGAGGAATCGGACCATGGAAAGCAGGGTAGTAAATCGGATGGGGAGGAGGAATGAAGGAGGTGGAGGGTGGTTGAGGTATAAAGTTACTATTGGAGAACATTTTCGTAGTCCCAGCCGGTGGAGGTGCCAAATTCCACCGGTCAAAATCAAGCGTATTACTGTTGTCTTTCATACTTGTTTCGCTACTCGTCCCGCTTGTACTTGCCTGACTGTTTGTTGCGCCCACCGCACTACTAGCGTTCGTAGACGTCATGTTGTTATTTACATTAAATTCTCCATTAGCCACACTAGCCACTGGGATGATTCTAGTTGGTGTATCGGACTTTTTCCGTCTCGATTTTGATTCAGTCTTTTCTGGAGTTGCTGGTGGAGCAACTTGCCGTTCATTTGGCGGAGAAATGATACTTGGTTGCTGAAGATTTTTCACTATTGTCATCGGATCATTTCGTTCCGGCTGTAACCGATTATTCCAATGACTTAACGTAGGAACTTGAATCGGGGATATATGTGATGATTGTTGCTGCTGTTGTGGTTGTGGTTGTTGTTGTTGTTGTTGCTGCTGTTGCTGCGGTTGTTGTGCACGTGTTATAACAGACGAATATCCTACTTGTTGGGAAGGTTGTTGTTGTTGTTGCTGAGATTGGGACTGCCGAGATAAGTTGGTTGATGGCGATCGTGCTGCCGTTGATTGGAGGTTGGACTGATGCTGTGGATGATGCTGCGGGGACGAGAGCGTATTACCCATGGGACTATTGTACATGGGATAAGCCGGACTAGACACGTGGCCTAAAGGGGAAGCTTGAGAATGAGAATGGCCAGGTGACGAAGCACGCCTCGATATCGTCCCCGAAGAGCTGCTGTAATCGGAAGCCGCTGGCGATGGGGGCATATTATGGCGAGATAGTGAAGCAATGGGACCATTCGAATACTGTTGCTGTGGTTGTTGCTGCTGCTGCTGCTGATGGGACTCATGTTTGTTGCTACGGCCGTAGTCAACTGACTCAGCACTGCTACCAGATAGGTTCAACTGACTATAATTAGTTCTATAGCTATTAGAGGCACTGTTTTGTTGATATTGCTGCTGCTGATTACTACTACTGTTACTATTATTCCTAGAAATATTACTACTGTTACTGTTATTGACACGATTAATGGGACTATTTAATTTAGCACTCGTAGCAGATGAGGATGTGGAGGAAGAGGAACTACTCGCTCGTCCATTGCTATCAGTAATCGAGTAGCTGATTGGTGATGACTGGGGTTGGTGACTAATTACAGTATGTTGGCCATCGGATTTTATCGTGGCTGATTGGCCTCCCCCTCCTCCTCCTCCGCCTCCTCCACCACCGATCGCTTTCGATTGGATAGAGGTTTTATTTTGTACAATTTTACTACTATTGAGTACCGTTGGTGGCGACGCAGCCGATGGTGGTATTATGAAGCTGTTCATCTGCAGCAAATGGTGTGCATTGTGCTGTAGCTGTTGATGGTGGATCTGATGTTGCTGTTGCTGTTGCTGCTGTGCTTGCATACCTGCCGACAACAATCGAGTTTTTGGATCAGTCAAACTGCTGACTGCGGCTGTTGCATGATGGGCGTTGTGATTACGCGACGCATAGACGATAGAGGAATTTACAAGGGGCGTTTGGGATGGTATGATACGAGACTGATATTTGTAATCCTTTGCTGTGGCAGGAGGAGATGATAGGGAAGGTGAGGAGTTGATAGAACTGGACACCGGGGTAATAACAATGCAAGAAGATGAAGAGGTCTGCTGAAGCGAAGACGAACTACTGCCTGTACCGGAGTTGGACGACAATGACTTACTAGTACTACCGTAATCCAGTTGCTGCTTGCTGGCTTGTTGCTGTTGAGTGGAATAATTTGATAGAGATTCGTTTACTCCACCATACTGCTGCTGATTGCTGCTTGTGTTCGATGAAGCAAAGTAGTTAGTACTCGCTTTGGCTGTACCGGTACTACTACTTCCACTGTTGACCGCAGGTGATGCTGATCGCGCTGACGCTTTGCTAACCAACTGTGAGTTGAGTTGGTTCAAGTTCGTGAAATGTGCGTTGAAGTTCTCGTACGTTGAAGTAGTGGTCTTCGATGACGCTGAAGTGGCAGGGTTCGACTGGACTACATTTTCGTGCGGCATAATGCCAAAGGGACTTGGATTCCCTTGCCAGGAACCACTAGCCGATGTGGATCCACTACTTGTTGCACTGGTATTGGATGCTTGTTGTTGTTGTTGTTGTTGCTGCTGCTGCTGTTGTTGTTGCTGTTGTTGTTGCTGTTCGAAAAAGTTGGCCGCTTGGGCAGCAGCGACCAAGGTTTGTTGTGTGGTGTAGTTGTCTCGAAGAGTTTCGGAATCACTGACCTGTTTCACTGCTGCCTGAGCCTGGGCTTGAGCCAGCACCCTATGCTGGTTAATGGTCGAGCTATAATGTGCAGGCTTTGGATTGGCGGCAGGATGGAACAATGGTGTAAACACTCCATCGTAGCCGACTCCCGGAGGTGACAGAAAACCAGGTGGATTGAACGGACCCGATGAGGTCCCTAGGGACGTTGTATGTGCTGCCTGCAGGAGCAGCTGAGATGTAGTTGATGGCACTCCAACGGTTGTATTGTGGGTAGCAAGTCCGATACCACCGGCTGCGGCTGCCGTCGCTAGGTGGTGGTGGAACTCTCCACTGGCTGTGCCCGGTTGTCGATTATACGTGTACGACCATGGACCTACTGGATCCATCTTAGGCAAATATGTGTTTAAAATTGAAACAAACTCACAATGATTTTGTCGCTAGCTGATCTGCTTAGGTGACACGCTGTCTTCGTCGGTATTTCATCCATCCAATATCTTTGCTGATTTGAGTTGTTAAAGATTGGAACATTCATGAAGGAAAACAGATGGCCATCGGAATTGTTATCTGAAAATGTAGAAAAAATAGAATAATAATGAATTTATTTGTTTGCATTGAAAATTTGAATTTTATCCACGATGATCATGAACAAAGTTAAAAGCTTTTTCACCAGCAAATGGAGCAATGGTTATTTAACATGATTTATTATTAAGTTTTTCTTCTTGATTGCCGTAATTTCTTCCGTGTGTTTCAGTTGGACCTTATTAAAAATTATTCATTACAAAAGCAACTATCTTTTGTGAAAGAATCACATTCGATTAGTTTAGACAACGTGTGTTTCATTATTAGATTTATTGTAGGCAAATCTATCCAACGCAGAGAAAAACATCAACCACCGAAGTAAGTCAGAAACTATATGTTACTTTTTCAGTAGTGTTGTCCTTGAAATCATGTTATGTTGGAATCTTTGGTAGTTTTTCGGTGCACTATTATCACAGACAAACATACATAATTCTGGCGTGTAGTTCATCGCACATGCATTTAACGGTCAATTTGAATTGTTCTTAGTTGGTAGTACCAACAACAATCAATACGAAACTATTGATTTTAAATTGGCTCACTACTTGACTAGCCTATTGGTCCCAAGCAAATCGATTAACGTATCCCATTCTAGTCGAAATTCTAGTACTACACAAAGTTTGTTTTGATTTGCTATGAAAGTTTGACAGATAAAATGAGGGATTCGTGGATTTTCCTATGTTTCGAGGGGTGCATCGAATTGCTTGGGACCGAAGACAGTACCAGAGCTGAGCCAAAAAGTTGAGCACGTTTCTTTGGGACCTACTAATCTTAGAGTTACCTCTACGGTACCACCATAGAGGTAACTCTAAGACCACTGGGTCCCGAAGAAAATCATTATTATTTTTGGCTCACTCAGTACCAGGACAACGGTCCCAAGCAGTCCCAAGCTATTTCACTCACCCCTGCATGTTCTGCATGAATCCACACACCCCTGATGTTATCTGTCAAACTTTCATAGCGAATCAAAATAAACATAGTGTAGTAATAGAATTTCAACTAGAATAGGGTACGTTAATTGTTTGCTTGGGACCAATAGGCTACTAAAGTGGTGAGCCAATTTAAAATTGTTAGTTTCGTATTGATTGTTGGTACCACTGCCTGTGGCGCGCATAGTCAGTTTCCTTACGTTTGACGTCTACACACTACCGCTATCTGTTGAGCGTACTGCCCATGACAGTGTACTCAACTAGTTTATCTGTGATATTATGATTATCAATAAACAATATACCAATAAACGCGAATTTGAGAGATCCTCTATTATGCTTCAACCTAGCCATGGGGCTTGTACAGGAAATTTGCTCTGTACGCCAAAGGAAGAGCGGTCATAAGGTAAATGTTTTCTTCGGCAATACGTTTACTTAATTTACACTTTGTTTACACTCCGATAGTAATAACCGCAAAACAAATTTCTTTTACATCCAATACAAGGTTGGATTTAATACATCCTCTGCATATGTTTCATACATCAAATGTAATGGCAGTTTTTGCAATGGACTGTAGCGAACAAGCAAGTTTTTCCAGATTATGCATATTTGTGTATACATTTTAAATACCTTCCGGCGACCACATTACAGAATCTGTTCATGTAGCGAAACATGGCAAATTCTACATACTTTTCATGTAAATCTGTAATATAATCTTACCTTTCCCGGTTGGCTGTAGGTAAAGGTATGGCCGAAGCCGGCATTTCCCCTACTAGTTTATTGATAATAGGAACGCTTCAATAGAAGGAGGAAAGCATCTGATATTTGTCATAATTTGAATTCCTCAGGGATGTAGGGACCGTAAAAGTCACATAGTCAAAATTATGTTCTGTACGGAAACAATATTTTAGTACAATCTCTGACTAATATATCGTTGGTGAATAACATAATCAGAAAAGTCGACCCTGTTGAAATATTAGTGCTAAATCATAGCGATACCGGTACTTGAATCTCGATCATTTTTATTACAAATTAATCGCAAAACCATATTCCAAGACATGCTTATTATTAGACAACGTACAACTAGATTCAAGTGAAATAAAATATAAATTCAGCCTCTGCGGGCAGACCACTGCATCAGACTGTGCCAGCTAACCACAGTCAGCCATATGCACAGCGCAATGACTGCCATGGGCACAGGTCCCATCTCGAAACACACTTGTTATCTTCCACGATATGTTTCTTCGGTACCTTTCTGTCGCTATTGATCTGTGGAGCGGTTGGATTGCATTCTCAGCCCAAACAATACCTTACGCAGTCCCAGACACTCACACAGCCGCCATCAGTCGCATTGCCACTACTGTAGACCATACAACCACATGAAACGAGCACGTACACGTTGTCATACATATTCGCATTCGCATAAAACAACTCCACATAAGAGCATACATTTTTTGTCATCCTTTATTCTTTTCCACAAAGCGTCCCCATCCCCAATAATAATGCCTGTTTTTCTTGTCGTTGTTGTTGTTGTTGTTGTTTCTCTTTTCTCGCGCTGCTGGTGTTCCTCTACTCTTTCCAGCTTGGTTCGCGTTCACATCAAAGCGCAAAAAAGCGAGCCGCGAGATGGGGTCGCTCGCTCTACTATCACGCGAAATGCTTCTCACTCACACTCGTTCTCACACGTACATCGCACAACCACAAAGAGTGCAATATTTCCATCAAAGGAGCCACTTGAAAACTCGGAGCGGAAACCCCCCATCGGAAAGAACGAGAAAGAGCTACGAGTGTTTTGTGATTGTATATGCATCATCCTTCGCATTTTGGCAGCTCAGTTTGGACGTGAGCATACTTTTTATGTGTAATTTGATTAATTGCCTCACGTTTGAAAATAATCACCTTTTAGCAGGTACTTCCAGATGCAGAGTACAGAAAACTTGCTTTTCCGAAGTTCCGCCCGGTCCGGTATGTTCCAACTTTGTCCCACTGTTTTTTTCTCTGCACGATTGAGTCACACGGTCGACTTTTTCACGCTATCCCGTTCTCAAAAAGTCTTTTCTTTTTCACGGTTTGATTGATTGAGTTGGTCGACGAGTGCCTTGTAACACACAATACACATACAGTAGAGCAGGGCGCGAGTGGAGAAGAGATGAGAAAAAATCCTCTGCGTCGTCGACTGAAATCCGCGACGAGCAAGCTCTGGAGATTTTTACGTTCAAGTTTTCATCCTAAATACTTCACTTCCGCACAAATTAACATGCACCACAAGATCTTCGCACTTTCCGGCATCGATTTACCATTAGCTAATCCTGTTTTGGCGAATATTAACTTGACTTCGAGCGCATTTAAATTTCCTTCAAATTTACTTTTGCCTTCAAAATGTCCGCCGCGATTTTTCCATTCCTCCTTGTGTCTCTTTCTCGCTGGTCACATTCACACATTCGGCGTTTGAACGATTGCCTGCTTGAAATATGAATCACTTGTGTAGAATTTCTTGTACTTTCAATGGAGGGTTTCGCATACGCTGGTGCCACCTGACGGTCGGTGAGAATATGACAAATAAAGTTCAAAGTGACGGCTGGTTCAAGCGACAGTCTGGTCATATTTATTGACGTAAACAACAACAAAAGCAATGTGATCACAATTGCACCAGATACATTGTGTGAATCCCAGCGCACATTCCGCATCAAACGTACGACTGTTTCGATCTAGTATTGCTTCCACTCCGTTATAGGGGTACTAGTTTTTTTTCCCCTATTGAGGTTTTTTTTTTCAATCCGCTTTCATACTGAGTGGTGTTGTAGTATACAACAGTGTAATGAGCATCGTAGTCATTTCCGGCCGAGTCTGGCAGATGAGCTATACACCTCTAACCAACAAATTTCATCGCATCACGCCACTGCAAAATCAAGGTCATCGAGTTCACCTGCCGGCGGTCAGCCGGTGCTTTGTTGCAAACACTCGAGGGCAACAATAGAACGATCATCACCATCATTCTCATATCACGATAGATCATCGTCATCAGCCACACTAGCCACACTACCCACACATCAGTTAATAAGTAACAAACGGGTACAGTACATGTTCGCTAACTGGGCGTTCTTTAACTCGGCTGCTTTTTAACTGTAGCCCAGTTAAAAAGCAGTTATACGTTAACAATAGACGTCACATATTGTTTGACATTTCGTTGCCATAGTTGGTGAGGGGCATTCGAATGGAAATTTAAGTTTTAATATAAATAAATTTGAAACTATTATCATTTCACACTGAAATCTAGACTTGAAAGCGTTTTTAGCGAAAGTATTAAACCTTTTTTTTTAAATTCACGAGTATGAATGCTGTGAAAATAGCAAACACAAACTTTATACTGTTTCAATTCAATTTATGTTTCCCTCATTGTTTTTGACGTTTGACAAGCCAGCCCAGTTGGCGAGTGGAATTCGCTAACGCGACTGTGCTTTTAGCCCAATAAGCGAGCAAGTACTGCTATCTTCCGTTCTTCGCAACCTGATTGTTCTCCTTACAGTGTTGATTGACTTTTCTGACAGCTTTTTGTATTTTCCTGAAAAAGTGTTCAATTTTTTCTTCTTTTTTTGTTCCTTTACTGTTTTATTTTTTTTTGCAATCTGATTAATCCCCCCATAGTGGTGATTAGCCTTCCTGGCACATTTGTTTTCCATTTTAATTTTTTTTGCTTTGCTGGATTAAGTATTATTTTTAACGTTATATTTTTTGGATAATTTTTTTATTAATTTTTTTTTAATTATTATTATATTTTTTCTTCCCCCTTTTTTTTCTTTTTTTATGCCAAAATCTGTTGCGGAGGTACTTAAGACCCCCAATGGATGTAATAAATGATGGCGGGTGTATTTCGCTAGCAGATATCTCCGATGATGAGTCTATTAAATCTCCATTATTCGAAAATCTGCTTCTCACTGAAGAGAAAATGGGAATACTACTTCGGTTCCCAAAACGAGCACTGGAGCTTACCCAAAGGTGATGTCTAAACAACAGCCTCCTTCAGTCCCTGCCCCCCTTCCTCACAATCGCCCCCTCATCCACCTGTTCCCCCTACTCCAATCATTTCCTTAAAAATGTCTGGGTCCCCCTGCCATAAAGCCTACCCAGACGGCTCAAAAGGTCCGTAGGTTGTTTTTCTCCGGCCCAAACAAAAACCTTTGAATATTTCTCGCATTTCGTTCTCATCCGTTGTGAAGCAATTAATCCTTTGGTAATAGAAAACTTTGAGAAGCTGCTCGACCGAAATCCTCAAACAAGATTCATGAGTTTGTACTATGAGTACATGACGCTGGAGGTTGGTCCTTCTTCATTAATCTTCAATAGTTCCTCTGTAAATTTTGATCTGACCATGATGCAAGAAATCAGCGACAGATCACCATCGGTCGATGGTTGTTCCCTCAATTTTTGCAATCAAGCACCACGATGTAAGTAACGATAAAAGTTTTTTTTTACAGATGGGTCAATCATAAATGCTTCCATTGGATTTGGTGTATTTAATCAATTTCATAGCGCCTCCTATAAACTGCAAAAACCATACACCGTATATATTGCGGTACTCGCAGCCATATTTTACGCAGTAGAGCGAATTGCCTCACTCCTTCTGACTATTATTTCATTTTTACGGTTAGGCTTAGCTCATTGGAGACTCTTCGTTCAACGAGGCCGATAAAGCACTCCTCGTATTTCCTGCCTGAAATAAGATCTAAACTGAGTGCTTTATCCAACTGCTCCTATACTATCACCTTAACTTGGGTCCCATCTCATTGCTCAATTCCGGGTAATGAGAAAGCGGACTCGCTGGCTAAGGTGGAAGGCGATATTTTTGAGCGACAAATTGCCTTCAACGAATTTTTCTCCATTGCTCGTCAGCAAGTCCTGTTGGCAACAAAAATGAAATGATGGTGATTGCGAAGACATTTTATTCTCCCACCATGGTTCAAAGGGTTGGACATAAGCCGCGACTTTGTGTCAAGGCTAATGTCCAATCACTGTTCGTTAGACTCGTACTTCTATCGAATTGGGCTCTCAGGCAGCAATTTATGTACGTGTGGCAGTGGTTATCACGATATCGAGCATGTTGTTTGGTCATGTACCCTACACCGTGTTGCCAGATCTGAGTTATCCACATCCCTCAGGGCCCGAGGAAAACAACCCGCGATACCCGTTAGAGATGTCTGGGCTAGCCGAGTATTTGAATTTAATTTATGTGTTTTTAAAACGGATAGATCTGAGGATTAAGTAGTTAGTGTCATCTTGTGTTCTCCCAAGTTGTTAGCTGTCCATCGGTGTACTCCCATGTTTGTCTTTTTCATCAGTATGTCGTTTAGTTCTAGGTCAAGAACACATTGCTCTCCAAACCTTGTGTTCTCAATCCCTACCCTGCCATCCATTTGTTACAATTTGTTACCCCTAACCTCGAGATTGCCGCGAGTAATCGGCCTCCACTTTACTAACGATAGTTTTAAGTTTTTTTTTTTTTTTTTTTTTTTTTTTCCTTTATTTACAAGGCTTTCAGCTATTGGCTGGTTCGCCTTGGATAGTTTTAAGTAATTTTGTGATCTAAACAAAGAATATCGGCTTCGCAAACCTAAAGCAAATCAACCTAAAAAAATAAATGCATTATAAAAATAAAAATCCCAGCGCAGGTGGGATTTTACCAATAACCGAGCTACCGGACAAAATACCCATCCCGGAAGTCGCGTGATACCGAAGAAAAACACAGACAAAAAAAAACGACTACGTTTAACGCGCGACTTTTATTAACAACAAGACTAGTAAACAAAAAATAAACAATATACAGTCACACATTAGTAATGGATTAAGCTACTAGTTTTGATCTCGCAACTACGGAAGCACGGAAAACAAATCAAAGAAGAAAAAACATGTTTCGATTTTCTGCATACCTCACAAATCACCGTATTTTTTACTAGCGACATCTGTTGCCAATATCAATCATGCTGGTAGTCCATTTATGATTAATCAGATCTCACTCTCATGCTCTCACGCACTCACACGGGCAGCTGTCAGATTCGTTCCAGGGGGCTTACGCTACTTACTTCAACAACGATAAATAATTCCATTAATTGAGTTTCAATGCGCATAAGGAAAGGAACCTGATCGGGAAAATGTGATACTACAAAGGTCATCAAATTGGGAAGGATATAATGTTATTGATCAGCACGTTAAGAATTACAATGAGAAAATGAGCATGAATGACGGATTTCTTGATAAGGGCATGCCTTAATTATTTCATGCGAAATTGAGAGACCCTTCGTCACGTTTTTCCTGGAGAAATAACTATGCGCAACCCACAGGTTACCTCTCTTTTCGAACGGATTTGGACAAAACAAATTAATGCTTCTATCAAAATATGACTTTTAAATTTATTTACCTTTCCATACGTATCGTTGTACCCGCTGTCACGTATGCCATGCTGCTTACGCGATAATGACATCCTGTCAAAGGGCTGTTGGATTCACTTCGACATACGTATTGGCGTTGACGGCGACTCTGTAACTCTTTACTCCTATGAGAAAATCTATAAGCAAACGTCAGACTGTGCGTGAAACATGGCGGACTTTGTACTATCCTTTCACTCCACCGAAAATTCCCATAAGAAACTGTCTATATTTGCTGGAAGAGAAAATTTTTCGACGGTGCCGTCAACGCCAATGAAAAAATGGAATTGGCGTTGTGGCGACTCTGCAGCTCTTTACTCCTATGGTAAAATCCATAAGCAAACGTCAGACTGTACGTGAAACATGGCGGACTTCGTACTATCCTTTCACTTCACCGAAAAAATCCCATAAGAAACGACGGTGCCGTCAACGCCAATAGAGATTTTCACGACCAGTTGTGTTGGTACGATATATGAGAGCGTGTTAGTGAATTTTCGAGGAAAATACATAACAAATCGCTGTCAAACTCATTTTGACAGATCCAATTTCATACATTTTTTAGGTTAGCCAGAGGAAAATAATAAACAACTTTACACAGCGGTCCACCCACTAGTGTGCGACGTGCGTGCGTTAAACGTCACTAATCTCTATAGGAGCGCTTTTTTGTTTTTGAAAACAGTGGATGTAAATATTCTTTTTATGCGTTCCCGCATAAAAAATAATCATATGAAGTGCCTAACCACCAATTCTAGATAGAGCTGGAATTGGGGCATAACAGCTTTTGTAAACAATGATTTCTTTTGATGATTTCTAGAAAGTTAAGGCTTGCCAACGCCAATCAACAACACCATCGGGTAGGAGAAGACTTCCCCTACCCGACGGTTATGTTTGTTTGCGTGAGCGTGCCTTGATTTCATATAAATCATCGATAGTGTCAGCTCTATCTAGAATTCGGGTTATCATCATTAAATCCAATAAGAAACGACGGTGCCGTCAACGCCAATAGGAGCGCTTTTTTGTTTTTGAAAACAGTTGATGTAAATATTCTTATTATGCGTTTCTTATAGATTTTGTTTTCTGTTTTTTTGTTTTATGACTGATTCGTTCTCGTCAAAATCATTGATAAATTGGAAGTTTCTGTTCGATATGACGGAAAGACGCGCTTATGGCAAAGCAGTTCTCTACCCTACCTAATGCGTTGCTTATCACAGAATCTTACATCCCCCAGTCGCCTTTAAAAGCAAATATAAAGATGATCCTTACCAGGAAACATATGTACTTCTACTTACTCATACTCATTCTTATTCACCATGGAAATGACAAGAGTTAACTGATCTAACTCCATTCAATTTGCACGGCAATTCGGCAGCTCGGTAAAACCTCCAAATAATCGGCTGTTTTACTTCTGCATATATCTCCGGAGAACTTCGACATTAGCTCAATCTCGGAAACTAATAACACAGTCAGGTAGAGGGTTGATTCCTTTATCATTTGGTATAGTTTATTTAAGAGATTGAGCTTTTATTCGCGAGAAATAAACTAAGACTTTATGATGAATCACTGCCAGGCCTGGTCGATTTCGAACTACCTTGTTTTAATAAATGTGACTAAGGAGTTTTAACATGTTACAAGGCTATATACCAGGTGAACTTTCATTTTAATATTGCCGGTTTAAAATATTCAATGGATCACATCATTCGAACAGTTTTAAATGACGTTGCATTTCGAACTATGCCGTGGAACAATATTTCTACATTTTTTTTTTCTAGAACCTCGAGAAAATAGAGTTTTATTTATGCTGGAATTTATTGCTTGGTTGGTTGGATGGTTGTCTTTATTAAGGAGATTTTGTTTATTGCTTAATTTTCTTAAAATCAATTGTCAACTTTCTAAATGGGTCACTTGCTATATTCAAATATAAACTATAATAATCTTCACGATAGTGTTTTGATCATCGTTGTAAAGTCATTAATAATTATTATTGATCAGTCAGCTCAGTTAACACCCAATGGAAGCTACCCATTGCTGGCAAGTGATCATATAAAAGAAACAACAAGTAAATGTTATTTTTTAGATAATTTTATAATTAAATTTGAATCATTTTTTAAAGCCTCTGATTAAAGCCTCATAACTTACTGAGAAACAGAGACATGTTTTAAGGGCACCAGGACGAATGCAATCGTACTTAATGGGTCATTAAACCAAATTGTAAACAGATAATCACAAATTAAATCTATGAAAAATTCTTGGAGACCGCTAAGAAGTAAATATGTTAACATTCCGTAGTCTATAAGATAGTTTTGAGATAAAATACTAATAAATGAATGAGATGAATTCCAAGGGATTTTTGTGGAGAAGAAACGAAATACTGAATTTCATTCCTAGATGATTCTGAGGAGAATTTAATATGAATTATGAAAAGAATAGCAGAATTATAAGGAGAATTCAGTTGAGACTACAACAAGAATTATAAGCAGGATTAAAAGGGTGTTCTGAGGATAATTTCAAAGCGACACCGAGGAAAGATCAGAAATAAAAGGATGAGGATAATTCAAAAGAATAAATGGATAAACATTATAAGGAGCGCCGCAAAATTAAGTACATGCGATACGAAAATGGAATGATGCTCGTGTTACCGTTTTATAAGACGCAACTAGGAACTCAAGATCATCACACTAAAAATGTGGACATCAATATATCGTGGATCACATCAGAAATTACATGGAAGACTTTTAGGAACTAGCAGCGATGTAGAGAAGGACAAAGTGCTCACAAATAGACACGACAAATGGACAGAAGAGTGAAGAAACAGCGAAAGTTAGTGAGATCATTTTAAATTATTACTCATATTTATACAAACTTTGCTTATACTAAATACGCGCCAGAATAAAAAAAAAAATGTATTTTTTTTATTCTGGAAGTGTGAATGCCATTACATGTATCCAATTGATTTATCGATGTGTTCATGCGGGGCTTATTGTATATGAAAGCGACCTCAGAATGACAGGCATTCTTGAAATGGGTCGTTGGAAGTACATTAGAGCTATCACCTTCCATCGCCAGGGCTTAAACTGTTTGCATCTAAGTATAAAAATAGGTGCAAACACTGCCGGCCAGTGGGAAATGGATTGTAGACATACACATACACACATACATAATCATGCACTTGAAGAGTGCTTTAAAGCCTCAATAAAACTTATAATGTTACTTGGGCTATAATATTTAGTTATTTTTATGGTTAATACAATGATTTACTTTCCATATTTTCATTCGACTGGAAAACACTAAAATGCTTTCAGATTAATGATTTTCTCATTTGTGCTATTTTTTTTATTATCTGCAATATTGTATTATATTTATACTAACAGAAATTCAATATTTGGTCAGGGATCTAATTTTTACTACCTACAAAATACATTATCTATGGCAATATTTTTCTTCTGGAAATGCGGTACTATCCTCACTAAAAGCATGTTTTACAAACATTAATTCTATACCCGTCATTTAATTTTACCCGGCAAATCCATTCGGGTTTAGCCTCTGCCAATTCCAAGTATCTTCACACATCTCTTTCAGACCTCGTTTAGCCTTCCAGCCCAGTTCCTTGGCAGCTAGCGTAACGTCCGCGTAGCTTGTGGCTACATCACCAGGACGCCTATTTAAAATATAATCAGTGACTGAGTGCTCCAAAATTTCATCTCATTTACCTATCGACGATTTCGTATTTTACTTCCTTTCCAGAAGCCTTGGAAAATGCTTCTACCACGTCCAACACCGAGTAGCCGCAACCTGTACCAAGATTATACACTACAAACCCATTTAATTGTCCACGAACTAGCTTATCGATAGCACAGACATGCCCTTCAGCTAGATCCACAATATGGATATAGTCACGCACGCCAGTTCCATCGGGAGTATCATAGTTATTCCCAAACACCTTCAGACAGGATCTACGTCCAACGGCCACCTGCGAGATGTACGGCATTAGGTTGTTCGGCTCTCCATTGGGATCCTCGCCGATGCGTCCCGATTTGTGCGCTCCAACTGGGTTAAAGTAGCGCAGCGATATCACCGACCAATGGGAATCCGATTCGCAGAGATCTTTCAATATTTCCTCGGTGAAATATTTGCTCTTACCGTAAGGATTAGTACAGTTGCCTGTCGGATGTTTTTCGTCTAAGGGAAGCTTTTGCGGTTCTCCGTAAACAGTGGCACTCGAACTGTAGACGAACTTAAATACATTGTTCTGGAAATTGGTACAACGTTAAAAATCGATATACATGAATTGGAAATTCGTCTTTGTCACCAGTAAACGCTTGAACAAGTGATTAGGTAACATACGTGAATGTTTTGAATCAACACGAAAACTCGGACTACGCATTCAAAAATGTACTAGGTACTTCCGCATCTAAGCAATAAGAACTATAATACCATACCTCGGCCATTACTTCGAGCAAGACGCTTGTACCGGTAATGTTATTTTGGTAATATTGCAGCGGTATGCGACATGATTCTCCAACCGCTTTCAGTGCTGCAAAATGTGCCACACAGTCGATTTGATGCTGAAAATGATAGATTATATTCATCATTGCCCTATCAGAGGTGTACTTTGTAATCATATAATCATTCATACCATTACCAGACAATAATGCTTTAGTGGTGATAACGAAGCACAGACTTTCGTTCGGTGATTATATTCAAGTTATACTAATAATTTACTAAAAGCAAAACAAACTGCACCAAGGTCGGAACCCTTGTTATCAGTTAAGAACTAACGAACATGTGAATTGTTATCACGTTTTGTGGAGATTTTCAGAGAAAAAATTACCTTTTTGAAAACCTCGTTCAACCCGTCCTTGTTACGTATGTCTACATCATAGAATGTTATTGGCTTTCCTGTCAGTTCCTGTACCCGTTTCAGAGATTCTGGCAGCTTGGAGTTTGCCTCGCCATAGGCGTTGCACAAATTATCCACACAGATAACTCGATGTCCCGCTTTGAGTAGCTCTAGAATTGTATGCGAGCCAACAAATCCCGCTCCACCGGTTACTAGGATATTCAGAGACATTGTTACGCTCACGCCCTAAAAATAGATTATCGTTATTAGCAATGAAATTAACTATGTACCTAGATTATCAAATATACCACCAGAATGGAGCACGATCTGCACGATCAGAACTTCCAATGATGAATAATCAGACGACACGTATTAGCACTTGACTCATTGCACGCTGCGGTTCTTTCGTTGCTCCAGTAGGGCAAAAAATACTGCCTATCTTATCACAAACAACTCAAACACAAAAAACAAGCGATGACGATCGCCACTCGCACCCTTGTAGGAAGCAGTGTTTGCCACCGAAACAAACGTGAGTATTGTTATTCAATTTCGTTGATAACAAACGTTGGTGCAGTGTTTGAAATAATGCTTCAAAAATGCTGACTGGATGGAACAGAGCACTTGCAATCAGCTCACTCTGACCGCTCCCTCTGTCATCTTATGGATTCTTTCTAGACAACCGCACGGTAGTACAATTGGAACAAGGGATAGATAAACAAAACCGATGATGACGTTTGAAATTTTCTGTTTGAATTCGTGGGGATATTAAATAGGTAGCATCTGGGATTTATGAATCGCATGAGGGTGCTGTATAGGTAAAATTTGCGCCTATGTGCGCCTGCGCACGTGGTACAGGCAGTATGCTTGACAGTGGTGCCAATAATAATGGACAGGTTATTGAATGGTCTAAATTAGGTTATTTAACATATAACCCTTACATAAAAATAATTTAAATGTGCTAAAGAAATTTGAGCTTGTGAAATGTTTAGTTTTTTTTTATTGATTATCTAAAAAAAATAACTGTTGAAGCGTAAATACAAAATCTAAACAACTGTTTTATATTACCGTGATGGACCAAATACCGGACGTTTCGTTAATCCGAACATTTATTTTTTTTTCATTAAATATTACGTTTACTTTGCAAAATTACCAATAAATTATCGTACAATTTCGATACTGATAGGCATTGATAATTAGCTTTTAAAGTGTCCGGATTTGGAGCCTTTACGGTTAACTAATAAACAATTAAGGTTCAGAATATTCCTTGCTTCGTAACGCTGGAACAACAAATAATAAATGAACAATTGAGACGGGCCCGGCGTAGTGTTTAGCATGCATGCCTCTCACACTAAAGGTCACGAGTTCAAATCTCATCCCCGGACAAGACACAAATGACCTAAAATGTGATACAGTGACAGCAATACAAAAAAAAAACAAATGATGATTTATTTAGTGGCCTACTATTCTTTGAAAGCATGAACATTTTTACCTCACTGCTTCACACTGGGATTCGAAATGATAATGCCTCAATACTAGGTAGTCTTGGTTTGGCTTAATTTGAATGATACGTTACAAGATCGTATCACTATCACTTCTCTATATTTTTTTCGATTGCAACCTGTATCGATTTGTGAATTAGGGGAGCTGTGGACTTATCCACGAACATTTGGGGGTAAGACGGAAAGTTGAGTTGACTTGGTACGGGAGATGTCAAATGTCATATGACATATAGTATAACAAAAAATGCTCTAACTAAATAAATGGAGGCGAACCAGCTTAAGGCTGAAAGCCTCCTTAATAAAGCTAAATAATAATAATAATAATAATAACTAAATAAATGAATAAAGAATATGTCTCTGAACCAAAACGTTGAATCGCATAGGTACTAAATTGAAGACATGTTGGGTTCAAAGTGAATATAGGGGGTTTGACAGCTGGTAGCTTTCGATGTACAATTCTTAATGAACCAAAAAGCAAAATGCTTACAACATTGTTTAGGATCCTATACCTGATTCTTTTCTAGAAAAAAAGTAGGGTAAATGACGGATGTTGAAATAAGTAGGGTAAATAACGGCTGCGGCACACATTGACTGTTTTCCGCAACCAAAATTTAAACGGTAATTTAACTGCATTTTCTTACCAAAACACTTCGCTTAATATGTTCAAACGATACTTCAGTCATTCAGCTTCAATCTGATTAAACGACTGAGCAAACGCATTTTACCAGGTTTTTCAAGAAATTAAACATATGCACTACAAAATTCAGCTGATGTCAAGTTGCCAATACTAAAACAACTCAAGACCAACAATTGAAATGGCCTTAACTCCCTTTTTTATCGAAGTCCGCAAAGGCAAACCAACATAATGAACAGGTAGGGGAAATTCTCCTCTACCCGATTGTGGTTTAGGTTTGCGAATGAAGGTTTCGGTGAAATTGCCTTGCAAGGTTTGTTTACAAAATGGAGTTAAGGCCATTTCAATTGTTGGTTTTGAATTGTTCAAGTTGCCAATAACAAAACAAAACGCAATTTAAATGGAAAGGTTGTCGAAGAATAAGAGTTTGCCGACAAGAGTCATACTCACCTGAGAAGTTTGAAGCGTTGTGACAAAGTTTTCACAGTTTTGGACAACCGTATCGATTGGAATGGATAGAGTAGCAAGCAGTAAAAATAAACAAATAAACACGTCAAATGTGTGCGTGACGCTGAGAAAATGCTAATAGAAGCACGGGCGCTACTTAAGGGGGTAGCCCAATCTGGAAATTTCAAAAAATCTTTTTTTTTTGCTTAAAAAATACGTTGGAATGTCTACTTTGACATAGACTTGACCGCAAGTCCACAAGTGACATCGTTCCAAAGTTATAGGCCGATTAGTGGACAGGTGAGCGCTCGGAGTACCCGCCCGTTACCGGCGAAACGGCGTGTCTTAGTAGTTCCAGCTGCTGCCGCGATTATCTCTAAACGATGTTTTCAAAATTGGCGGGCGCTGTATTTTAGAAACGGCTCATTCGATTTAAACGGCGATTGAATTTACGAGTTAAGTCCCTTTTTTTCTAGTCTTGTACGTAGCCGATTTTCAAAAGAATCAAAAATGGATTTTTGGTGCAAGCTTTTATCTCCAATTTTAGGGTACAAAAATAGACTGTTTTTTTTTCAAAACGTCGTCAAATTTTTATTTTTTAACCAAATCAAAAACGGCTACGTACAAGACTGGGTCATCTATCAGAGAATAACCACAAAAAATTCGTTGTTCCAGCTCCAGTGGTGTGACCGCCAGACGTCGGGAGGTCTCCTGGGGAACCTGGTGCAGCGGCTACAGGGGACATCCAATCGCGCCAAAAAAATCTCAATTAAAGAAGACATTTCAATTGACAAAACCATGCATTCCTTTTTTTGAATTGATCGTTATTTACCCTCAAAAAAATTTCGTGAAAATGACCTATTTTTCATGCCGCCAGAGTGGACTACCCCCTTAAGTGCGCTCTACACGACAGAAGTTTTGTCAATATTTCCATCAAAAATTCAAAATATCCGCACCGTAGAGGCACAGTCTGTGCTTTCACTGAAGGTAGACTTGAGAGCACTTGTAAGATTTTGTGACAATGGATGAGGATGAGATAGGTATGAAAACATCAGGATAAATCAGGATGTTTTTAGAAAATCAATATAAATTATGGGTTTATCATTTCATCAGGATGGGCTAAAAAATCACCTTGTAACGCCTCGTAACGCTGCTCGTGAGTAGCACAATCCGCTCAATTGAAAACCCGAACAGAAAGACCGTTTGTCGTGCTTTTCTTTCTCTCTGCTTTCACTAGATCGAGCTTTACGATGCGCGTAATAGAAAACCCGAACAGATAAATCCGAACACTAAAAGCCATTTCCAAACCCAAATACTCATTCGCCTTGACACCAGTCCCGAAGTGACGTTTCTTCACACACATTTTCAGGGCTGTTACAAGATTTTCTAAATTTGATCCGCGAAATCCGCGATTTCTGAAAAGAAATCCGCGACTTCAAATACGAATCCGCGACAAAAAAAACTGTTTTCATTGCCTAAAAATAGCATTTGTATACTACTACATGGCATTTCAAGGTTATGGCTTATAGCACATTAGATTTTTGCTTTAGTGTTCTTTGAAGTACTTTCACATTTTCAATTAAAAGCTTTCTATGCCTGTACCATCCTATGCCCAAGGAAGTAGAGAAATTTTTCAACCCGAACAATTAATAGACCGGACGGGAACCGAACTTAGTCGTCTCCAGCATGGACTTGCCTTGTAGCTGCGCCTTTACCGACTGAGCTAAAGGAGTATCGTTTGTAACCTTTGAAAAAAAAAATAAAAATGTATCATCTTCAGTTATTTATGTATAGTATAAATTCTGAGTGATTAGTGAACATAATAAAACACTCTTACATTATGAGATTCTATTGAATAATACAGGCCTAGATTTGATGAAACATTATTTAAAAAAAAATTAATGCGTTATCATTTGAAATGTAAATTTTCTTGAAAATAAACCTTTGCGTCTCTGACGTATTTTGCTGTCCTAAATGTTGTAGTTAATTTGGCTCTAGCTTTCTCAATTTTTTACCGATTCAAACCAAACACCCCCAAAGTTTCGTAAGTCACTCTTGTTGGTCACGTCGCGGTTGTGTATTTACACGGATGTTCCTTAGGGTCTGTCCAATGGTGAGACATTTTCATGAATTTTTTTTTTGTTTCTAACCTACACCCAACCGGTGGATGTAAGATTCGCTTACAATTATGTGGGATTCATCATCAGAGGATGTAAGTGGAGACCACATGAACCGAGGATGCGATATACCTAGCTGCGGTCCAATGCAAGGAACTGGAGACCGAAAAATGTAGAGTGTATTAGTGAGGTAAATTTATTATGTCGAAAAAAAAATTGGTTGCCGACTGGACTCGAACCACGAACGTTGCGATTATCAGACCTGTGCTTTCTCCACTGCTCTCTCCTTACTTCTGAATAAGGATAGCCTAAAAGCAAACAAGAAGCGTTCCTTTCCTCTCACACTCGACTTCGTATGCTTTTTCTGCTGGAGAGATTCGCGGCAAGGGTGTGCGTCGTTCTACCATGTTATAAATAAAAATCAAGGCAAATGCTTGCTTGTGTAGGTGAAAGCACAGACAGAGCACGAAATAAAAAAGGTAAAAAACCATTACATCGCCTGTAAGGTCAACTTCTAACATTCGCTGCGATGTTCATGAACAGAAGATGATAGGAAATGGAACTAACATTCATTGTAATAGATTTTTGGTTTGCGTGTAGCACTTTTCGAATCGTATACATGTGACTCATTACTGTGTATACCGGAAATTATAGGTTTTCCAAATCGTCCAGGACATCAGTTGATTTGTTCTATTAGATCAACCAAGACTGCAATAATGTCTGTAGTATCGAAAAATGTCCAATCAGATTCAAAGTGTCTATGTGGATCATGCATGATCAATTTCCGAGTAATCCAGATGTTCAAGGTTCTTCAAATCGTCCTGGTGTTCAGATAATTTGATCTACTAGATCAACTGAGATTGGGACAATGTCTTTAGTATCGAAATAA